CGCCCGCCTGGGCCTAGGGACTGCTCGGTAGCGGTGGGGCGGGGCGGGGCTGCGACACCCAGCTGGGCGGAGCCAGGCCATGGCGACCGCAGAGCCCGGCGGGCCGGCGATGAGGGCTGCCACCCCCGGAGCCCGGCCTGGCGGGGCCTCAGGGCACGCGGCAGGAGCTGTGGGACCGCCCTCCGGGAGGAGCGCCAGCGGAGCCCTCCGGCTGGGGGAGCGAACCCCTGCTACAGTGGAGAAGCGTGGACCGTACATGGTGACGCGCGCGCCGTCCATTCAGGCCAAGCTGCGTAAGTGTGGTCCGAGGTTTTATGCTGCTGTGTAACTGGGGCGGGTCCTGGGGCCCAGTGGTCTCGCACCCAGTGAAGGGTTCGATGCACTCCGCTTCCGTCCCCAAAAATCCGTTCGGAGAGCGGACTCCAAGCGTTCAGGGGACAAGGGCAGACTGGGGGAAACTCGGCTGACTAGGGCCCTTTGACTTCCAGAGAAGCACCGGGACCTGGCCAAGGCTGTTCTGCGGAGAAAAGGCATGCTGGGTTCCTTGCCGAACCGCCCCGACTCTTCAGGGAAAAGGTCTCAGCGGGCTCCACCTCCTCTCTGCCGACAATTTCCAAAGTCGTTATTCCTCAGCCTGGGAGACGGGGTGCTCACGTTTAGGGCTGACCCAGTGATTCCCTGACGGCTTTTTGTCCGGTTGATTGTACTTAGGGGTACTTTTTCATTGAGCCACTTCCCCGGCCTTTTTTTTTTTTTTTTTAGAGACAGGATCTCCCTGAGTTGCTTAGGGTCTCACTTTTCACTGAGGCTGGCCTTGAACTTGCGATGCTACTGCCTCAGCAGGAGTGGGCTGGTATTACAGGCATGATCCACTGCTACCCATTTCAATGCCTTTTAGTGCTGTGAGCTGAAACTTGCAGAAGTGAAGGAATTTGCCCAAGAACTTCTGGTTAAATAAGGTAGCTAGGGGGGTGCTTTTGCTGGTTCATAAAAGGCAAGGTATACTTTCCCCAGGAACATGGGTTGGGGAGTGGAATGGGGCAGTACATTTTCTGAGGAGCTATAAGCCAAATAGCTTGGAGCTATAGGCAGTGGTGACCATGTGACCAGTTAGAAGGCAGTCTGGAGTAGTGCAGTCAGTTTTTTCGTAATCGAGCCTTTCCCTGTGAAATGCCTGTTTTCATCTATGCTTGATTTCTCCTCCCCACTTCCCTTAGGTCAGTGAAGTTTAACAAGGGCTATACTGCTCTTAGCCAGAGTCCAGATGAAAACCTGGTGTCCCTTGATTCTGACAGGTGAGTGTTATCCCTTGGGGAATGACCTGGATAGCATTGCAGATAGCTTGGTGCCTTTGCTTGTTTCCTGTCTCCTCTGAGGCCCTCCATGCACATTCCAGGCTCTTTTCTGAGTGCTATCCTTTCCCAGGATGGCTTGGTTAGAAGATTCACAGGTAATCATCCTGCTCTAGGTTTGGAACTCCAATGTTTCCAGGGAATCATCCTGACCTAATGTATTATATCTGCACTGTTAGTGAGATTGACCTTATTCCTGCTGGAGCCAATTGAGGAAGCCATTTGCACTCACTGCAAATTCTGGGCTTGAGTTCTATGGTGTGGTCTTTGCTTCACAAATCCCTCAGACCCGTCCCTCCCTTTGCATGTTCTCCACCTCGCCATGTGCAGCTGTGCTCCACAGCCTCGCCTGAACTGACTGTCTCCCTCTTCTCCTAGTGATGGGGAGCTGGAATCCAGATACTCTTCCGGGTATTCCTCTGCAGAGGCAAGTCCAGAGCGCCTTTCTGTGCAGGGCCAGGCTACAGGCAGCATCACCACCACTACCAAATGCTTGTTTGGTGCCTGCTGTGTGCACAGCACTGTACCAGACTTCCGGTCTGTTCTCCGATCTTCCACTCTGCCCTCTTCCCCCAGCAGAGGTATAGGCGTCTTAGGAGATCTGTTGAAAATCCAGGAGACGGTATATCCTCAGGGTTGGAAATTACCTCAAAAATTTTCTAGTCTAGACCACAACTTAAAGGAATCCTTTTGATAGATCCTATTTAAGAGTTTACTAGCCTCTGATTGCTTGTATGCTTCTTGTAATTGCGTACTTAGGACCTTCAAGAAGCATTGCTTCCTACCCACCCCCAACACATACATAACCCCTTCTTCAGTAATATTTAGTGAAGTCTCCCTGCACTACCCCCACCACCAGTACTGGGGTTTAAACCCAGGGGTGCTCTACTACTGAGCTATATCCCCAATCCATTTTACTTTTTTGAGACGGTCTCACTAAGTTGCTAAAGTTGGCCTTGAACTGAGCCTCCTGAGTAATCATAGGCATGCACCATTGTGCCTGGCAAGAAGTCTTCCTTCTTAATCTGAAATGTTTCATGTAACCTGGACCCATTTATTGGTCCAATACCTGCCTTCCAGCAGCAACTCTAATCTCCCTTTTGACTGTCCTATTTGAGGTCAGCCTTCAACACTCCCCTGCTCATCTTCCACCAGTTTTTATTCTTCCAGGCCAAAAAAAAACTTCAGTTCCTTCAGTTGTTCTAGACTGAGATACTCCTGGCTGGCTTTGTGGACATATTTCTGTCCTAGATAGAAATCCAAGAACATAAAATTCTTGGCTAGCTGCAGTGGCATGCACCTATAGTTGCAGCTACTCAGGAAGCAGAGGCAGGATTGCTTGAGGGCAGGAGTCCAAGGTTAACCTGGGGAACACAGACCTTTTTTTTTTTCTTTGCAGTACTTGAGATTGAACCCAGGGATGCTTTACCACTGAGCTACATCCCCAGTTCTTTTTATTTTTTGAGACAGGGTTTCATTAAGTTGCTTAGACTGACCTTGAACTTACAATTTTCCTGCTTCAGCCACCTGAGTTACTGGTATTAAAAGTTTATGCCACCTTGCCCAGCTAAGACCCTGCAAGGAAGAAAGAAAAAGGTCCAACATGTAGCTAACTCCCTTTAAAGGAGGTAAAATTCTGGGTCTATAACTGCAGATCACCAATATTTCTTCCTTATTTTCCTGGAATCTTTGGTTAACCTTTTATGTTTCTGGGAAAGAGAAAAGGAGTTTGCATGTTGTATCCTCCTTGAGTATCTAAGAGTGTTAAAACTAAGTAAATAGCCAAGAACCAGAGGAAATCTTATACTTTTTCCAGCCTTATTTATTTCCTGTCTGTTCAGTGGAACTGGTGAAACCAGGCTGCCTGGTTCTACTTTGCAGGGACCCAGCTTGGCTGGCAGGGAAGGATAACAGGTCTAATAGGCAGTACAAACAAAGCCGCTCCCTGCCTGCTTCCACAGTAACCCAGGACTCTAAGCCTGTTGTTCTGTTATCATTGTCCTATATTCTTTAGCCTTGACAGGGACATCTGGGTTTTCAGTGGGAAAGATAAGAACAATGACTTCAAACATAATCTAGAATTTAGTGTTAGTACCAGGTGCCTAAGGATTCTTTAGTAAGAGCAGCTCCTGAGGGTCAATGAAGACTGGACATTACTAGCTAAGGCTCCTAGGTGCCCCTCATTGCTGAGAAGGCACAACAGGATACTTCCTCCTATAGTCAGGAGGGCTGTGTGGGGTTGGCCTGGGGGTGGAGCATGGACAGGAAGCACTGATATGGGAATGTGAGGCTGCCTTTTGGGCAGCTGGCTTATAATCCCCTCCTCTCTCCTCTTAGCAGGTAAACCAGGATGTGAGCCGGCAGCTGCTACAGGATGGGTATCACCTGGATGAGATTCCAGATGATGAGGATTTGGACCTCATTCCCCCTAAGCCTATGGCCTCCTCCACATGCTCTTGCTGCTGGTGCTGTCTTGGGGATTCTTCCTGTACCCTCCAGTAGCCATAATTCTCCAAGGTGGACCCTGCTCACCACGAGGCCTACAGAACCCTGTTGGCCCTTCATAGCTCAGAGTGCGGTGAGAACTGCTGTCAGTTCACAATCATTGGAGGCACTGACTCTCTGGGAAGGTCCATAACCTGCAGGAGAGCCCTCACCTGGTGCTTCTCAGGCCAGAGCCCCACCTCCAATCTGGGTGATGAGGGGATGGATAGAATTCTGCAGTTTTCCTCTGTTGTTGGAGCAGTTTAGAGAAACTACTTTTAATAAGGGCAGAAACAGGATTTTCGACTAACAGGTGGCTAAGAAAACCAATTGCAGAGATCTTTATTGGTATTTGTCATGGTGCTGTATGGAAGAGGAAAAGAGCTTTTGAGTTCAGGTTGTGCTGTAGATGTGTGGAGGCAGGAGACACCACTTTACAGCCTGTAGCGAGGAATTTCAAATTTTTAACCAGTACAAAGAATTCCGTGTTTTCCTCCTCTTCCCAACTCTAAGGTGGATTAAGGAAGCACTGATGTGGGAATGTGAGGCTGCCTTTTGGGCAGCAATTATTTCTGTTCCATATCCTGGCTTATAATCCTCTCCTCTGTTCTCTTGTCTTACCAAGACAGCAAAGTAATTCCCTTTTGTCCTCTTCATATTACATCTGTCCGGCTGTGGCAGTAAATATAACAGGTTGCTTAATGACACATCAGGATCATGGCTTTCAGAACACTGTACCAGTTCAGTGTCTGTGTAAGTTTAGTAACTCATTCAGCCAGGACAGTGTACCAGTTCAGTGTCTAAGTTTAGTAACTCATTCAGCCCTTCCCTAGAGAAAAACTGGTCCATCATGTACATATTCATTCATTTATATTTCCTTGGTCTGAGCTAGCTTCTCCACCCAGTCTTTGAGCTGGAAGATTGGCTTGGAAGTACTGGCACTGGCTCTAGAAGCCTGAAGTTTTCATGATTACCAGCAGAGGGAGCTGCAAAGGCAGAGTGCCTTCCTATTTGTTGCTTTTTAAAGTTGTGGGAAGTGGTAGAGTGAGTGTTCTGCTGGTGCTGCTTTGTGGTCTTTGGCCTAGACTGCAGCTCTCAGAATTGGGAGGAGAGACCAAAGCTAGAAACCAGGTCTCTGCCTGAAATCAGCCCACCATTACACAGAGCCTCCCCTGTAGTACAGTCCATTGTGGAGCCAGATTCCTCTGCCCCAGCCTCACAGTGGATGCTCAGGATTCGACTTTATGGACTGGGGGTGTAGGAGCATTTACATAGCATGTGTGAATCCCTGGATTCAACCCCTAGCTCTGCCAAAAATAAAAGATTGGGCTTTAAGGCAAACCACAGTGTGAACCTAGCCTCTCTTGGCCCCGGCCTGAACATAGCAGAAACAGGCATAATTCCCCCTGTTGCCCCCACTGGATAATTTCTTGTTATACGTAGCCTCTTATTGGAATTTAGTTTTTCACTGCTCCTCATCCATTTTTTTTTTCCACCTCACCCAGGACCATGGTGAGGTGGGATGGACAGGGTTCTCAGCTCAAGGGGCATAGGATTAGGATATGGGTCCCATGCAAAAGTGTCCAAGTTCTTGCTTTACATAATGTCCTGTGACCACTACAGGACATGGTATGGTATCCCTACCACAAGAGGTGACTAGGAGACTGAGAAGTTAGATATAAAATATACCTTAGCATTTGTTGGACAACTATCCTCAAGGTCATCCTAATAGAGCTTGATTGTTTTTCTCAAACTGGAAGGTTGACAGGAGCTTACAGTATTCAGAGGCTGTGATTAATTTACTCTGCTAACTCGCAGCATTCTAGAAGGGAGATAGATCGGAGACCAGAGGTATATCACCTTGGGGTCTGGGGACAGAGGAGGCAGATGGTTTTTCTGTTCTGGAATGAGACTCTGCAACTTTACCAAGGTGCCCAACATTCAGAGCAAGGAACATCAGCATCTCCATTCTGAACCTCTTACCCCACCAGTTAGTTTCTAGGCCTTCAGGTGTCTATGGAGGGGAAGAGCAGATGTGGACGGTATAGATTTGGTGATAGTGGTGGGGACTTAGTGAGGGCAGAAGGTAGCTGTGGAAGCCAGGTATGGATCCATATTTCTGTGGGAGGCTTGGTTAGGACAGATTTATTACCTGGGCATTTGGCAGCTGCTGGGAGGTGGCAGGACCCCCAAATCACACCCTCTGGGTAAATTGTTGCTGTAATCAACACTGGGGCACTTGGCTGCAATTCTCCCTGGAAGGGATGTTCCACAGTTGGGCAACTCTGTAGGAATTACGTGTGGAGAAAGCTGCAGGAATATGGAGCAGGAGACAACTTGTATTAAGGTGGGACAGAAATGGTGAGTTTGGGGTCAAGGGCCACAGACCAAAATACCACCAGTAAAGGCTCTAAGTTGCTCAGAGCCAAATAGCCTTAATTCAGAGTGCTGGATGTTATTATGCAGGTGACAGTCCCCTATGGAGAGGGGTGCATCTAGGCTTCCCTCACAGACAGGAATGGTTCCATCTGGTATTTACACAGTGCTCTACAGACCTCTTGGCTTGTACTTATACACCCTTGTACGTTTAATAAGAATAAATGCAGTCATGCTAGTTGAGCTGTGTCTGTTGTGGCAACAGGATTTTAAAGAAAGGCCTGGAATGCTAAAAGGAAGAAATAGCTAATAGCCCAGGAAGCACCCTCCCCCTTTTCTGCTGTTCCCCATGGGCATCATTTTCAGGCCTGTTTCACTGGAGATCATGAGTGGAATGGGCCCTTGCAGGTCACTATTTAGAATGGGTTCCCTTTAGCAGACCCTTTCTTTCCTGCTTATCTTTAATTATCAGCTGAAGAAACTTTAGAGGAAAAATTTTTTTTTTTTTTTTGGTGGTACTATGGACTGAACCAGGGCTACTCTGCCATTGACCTAATCCTCAACCCTTTTTTTTTTTTTTTTAAGACAAGATCTCACTAAGTTGCCCAGACTGGCCTCAAACTTTTTTTTTTTTAGTTATAGTTGGACACAATACCTTTATTTATTTATTTTTATGTGGTGCTGAGTATCGAACTCAGGGCCTTACATGCGCTAGTGAGTGCTCTACTGCTGAGTCATAACCCTAGTCCCTGGGCTCAAAGTTTTGATCTTCCAATCTTCCTCCTGCCCTTCTCTCCCACTACTTGCTATAAAAAGATTCTGGGATCCAGCCTGCCCACTTTATAAGTAGGAATAAAGCAAAAATTGGACAACATTCAGGGAAGGGTGTTTCAGCCAACTTCAGGGACAGAAATGCCAAAGGTGGAAATGTTCTTTACAGGGTCAAAACAAGTGATCTTTAATTGCTTTGACAGAGCAAGAGAGCCTACCCTTTCCCAATCCTCTACAGCTGAAGAAATAAGTAGGTAGTCCCAAGGCAAGAACCTTGTTCTTAAAATATACCTTACCAATTGCTCTGATGGATGCTGAGGTAATGATAGGTCACAGATTTCACTAGACGGCCTCATACCGTGGGCTGAAATACAGCTGTTGCCTCCTGAACTGGCAAGAGCCTGGCTCAGGTGTGGTGAGGAGTGGTAACAGAATACAAGAGAAGGATCAGGCCTTAGCCCTCCAATGGGCCTTTCATCCCAAGAGAAGATGGTTTAGCCTGGGGCATGCTCGGAAGTCACAACCCACAGGCTTATTTCCCCAGCTCTTCTAGGGTGCACACAGAGTGCAAAACAAGGAAAGGACTTGGAGTGGCCTGGAGCTAGAGTGACTGGCAGAAGAGAGCTAGCAAGGCAGTTGTCTCTACAGAAGACAGCAGGCCCGAAACATCAGCAAGTCCTTAGGCACAGTAAGCTTCAGTGAGACACTCTCATTGGCCCCAATGAAGAGCACCCCACCACGCTGCAGGGAGATTGCAGCCTGTGCTGTGGGAGTGCTGACTGTCACCGTTCCTTCCACCATCAGGAGGATGCTGGCAGAGTCCAGTGCCAAGACCTTGTATTCAGTGACAGAGCCAGGGACCTGGGCAAGAAGAAGCAGGATAATATAGCTTAGACTCTGCATCAATCAGGTCCCAGACTCAGGACAACTTCAAGGACAGTGAGGAACAGCACTGCTGCCACCTCCCCTAATATTCAAGCTCTTTATCAGCATGGAGGATGGGCCCTGTAACTGTCACTAGTAGGTGTGCTTGACAGAAGGGAAACCCAGCCCCAGGTATACTCCATATTGTAGTCCTTGCCAGTTCACCATCCCCTCTCCCACTTACCTCCATTTTCATAATGGTGAAGTCTGGCACAGGGGGGTCATAGATGAAGAGGTATGGGTCTTCCTGACTCTGTGTTGGGAGGAAGAGCCTGTCCTTGCTGGGGGTAGGGGTATAGCTGAGCATCTCACATAGAGTTGGCACATCGATGAACTTGGGTGTCAAGCCAGCACGCACTGTGTTGTCCGAACATGCCATACACTCCACGCAGTCTGGGGGCAGACAATTGTCATGTGCTAAGCTGAGGAATTATGCCTTGGAGAAGGCTCTCTAGGCCGGGCCTCCTAACCTGAAGTCTGTGAACCCCTTGTAGAGTTAGGTAAAAATGTGTAAATACAATGCTGTTTTCTGGGAGAATGGAGTTAAGATACCAGACTCCAAAAATAGGTGACAGGTCAGGAGGAGTCATATTAACCCCTAGGGGAGCCCCAAACTCCTGACTAGTCGTACTTCTGTGACAGACTCCTAGGCAGGAGTGGATGCTGCCAACAGTCAAAAATCACCTGTGAGGGGCTGTAGCTATACCTCAGTGTTAGAGTGTTTGCCTCGCACGTGTGAGGCACTGGGTTCCATCCTCAGCACCACATAAAAGTAAATAAATAAATATATTGTGGCCATCTACAACTAAAAATATATATTAAAAACCAAAATCACCTTCTGAGGGGATGCATATCTTTTTTCTTGGGGGCAGGGGGAGGGTGGGGGTAACCAGAGATTGAACTCAGGGGCACTTAACCATGGAGCCACATCCCCCACCCTTTTTTGTATTTTATTTAGAGACGGTCTCACTTAGGGCTTCACTAAGTTGCTGAGGCTGGCTTTGAACTTCCTCCTGCCTTAGCCTCCTGAGCTGCTGGGATTACAGGCATACACCACTGTACCCAGCCCTGATACATATATATTTTTTTAGGTATAGATGGACACAACACAATGCCTTTATTTTTATGTGGTACTGAGGATGGAACCCGGGTCCTGCCTGTGCTAGGCGAGCGCTCTACTGCTGAGCCACAATCCCAGCCCCCCTGATGCATATATTAATGTAAAAAAAAAAAATCCAGGTGGCTAGCTGCAGTAGCGCATGCCTGTAATCCCAGTAACTTGGGAGGCTCAGGCAGGAAAACTGCAGGTTCAAGGACAGCATGAGCAATTTAAGAAAACCCTGTCTCAAACAACAAAAAGGGCTGGGAATGTAGCTCAGTGGTGAAGCACTGAGATCAATCCCCAGTACAGTAAAAAATGGTAGACAGAATAGGCATGTAAAAGCTGGATGATGTGAGGGAGAGAAGAGCAGCCTTGTCCAATATAGCCTGGGTACCAACTTCAGTTCCCACACTCACTGACAGGACTTAACATCAGTCTTATTACCTTCCAGGTTGGCAGAAGATCATAAACAGTGTCTACTGCTAAGCTGACATTCTCCATACCTTACTGGCATTTTCCCTTTCTGCCCAGGAGCTCTCAGAGATTAGAGCTGGATGGACCTTAGAGAAAGTATCCATAGCCATCCTCTTTTTGTCCATATGGGAAAACAAGGTCTACCAGGGATGGCAGTTCTGCTGAAAAGGGGCTCACCTCCCTTCACGTAGGCATGAGGCACATTGGCCTCCAGAAACATGGCCTCTCCAGGCTTCAGGGTAAGCAGGTTCAGGAAGTAGATGGCAAAACAGCCAATGTCACCTGGATACTGCTGGTGCAGCTGTAGCAGGAGCTCTCCACAGATGTCCTCCATGTTGTTTCCAGCAGACACTGAGGGTCACAGAGTAGACCAATGCTTCAGTCCCACTTAGTATATTCTAGCCTTACTCAGGGCAAGGAGTCTTGGGGAAGAGTTCTTGCCCCATGAATGCAGAAGTTGTGCTTGGGCCTGTCCTAGTCATCGCCTGCTCTTTGGGGTCCAGCCTTCCTGATACTCCTGCCCACACAGATGCTCTCTCTCACACTTCAACTGTCTGCCTGGCTTACATTGACCTCTAAAAGGGCTAAAGTGTGTTCCATTCAGGATAAGATCTCTCAATCTCGACACTACTGGCATTTTGGATCCCTTGTTAAAAATAGGGCTGTCCTGCTCATTCTGGATGCATCCTTAGCCTCTACCTACAAGACACCACCATCACCCCCAATCCAGGTTCTAACAACCAGAAAAGTTTCCACACAATTGCCAAAGTTCCCCTGGTTGAGAACAGTGATCTTGGAACTCATAATCTCGATTGGGAGATGGCTCAAAAGGGTTCCATGAAGGAGAACAAACTCTTAGGCTAGGACATTCTCTTTTTTAGTACTGAAAGCCCCATGTCTCAGAAAATCTCACTCCCAGACAAACTGGGATGGTTGTCTACCCAAGAGAACACAAGGTAAAATGTGCCACGGGCCAAAATGTGTCCTGGAGACTGACCAGGGAAAATGAGCTCAGTCTGGCTACAGCAGTGAGAGCAGGATTCTTGGAAGAGGCAGGCAAAGAAGTGAGGAGGGTATTTATAAATAAAGACAGAGTGTGTTAAGTGCCACAGTGAAGAAATCAGCTTGTCTGGGTTGGAGACAGTTCAGTCCTCATAGCCTGTTGAAGTTCAGAAACAGGTCCCTGGTCTGGAGAGAGCCCAGTTTTAAAGTATGCATGTGATGCATAGACTCACAGGTGCTAAGGCTATACCCAGATGTATGAACAGGGAGCTTTGAGAGTTTAGAGCAGGAGTAGTCTGTTGAGCTGTGAGAACAAACAGAGAAAACACCCAAAACCACTCCCCACAAAAAGAAAAACAAAAACTGTATGCTTCGGTGAAACAAACAATGTGTGGTTCAAAGGAAGCACAGCAGGGGAAATGTGCAGAAACAAAGCCAGAAGAGAGCTCTGGGGCCACTAGAGACGGGATGGGGGCTACCACATCAGCTTATAGCTGAGAGGTTGTCTGCTTTATATTTCTCGATGCTTATATTGACTCTTCAGCCCAAAAGGTGATGACCATACCCATCAGCCATTTCCTGAACTCTCCTTAGCACAAAACAGGCACATAGGAGGTAGTTAAGAAAAAGCTAATGATTGCAAGCACTAAACATCAGTCCTTTAGAGAAAGAGATGATCCTCTTGTCCCCTTCCTGCTTTCTAGCTCCAAACACAAGTCTATCCATGGGAAGCAGTTGCAGGATTGGGGAGAATTTGAATGCCTGGGTAGAAGGCATCAGAAAAGTCTTCAAGTATGCCTACAATTATCTAAAGAAAACAACCAGTCAGAAAGCAGCACTCCACCTATGGCCTTGTTCCACAAAGACTGGGAAAGAAATGGTAGTGGCCAACAGGTCTTCTAAGTTGAGTTCTTCAGTATTCCTCTTGGGCAAAGGGGTTGAGAACCCTGTCCCCACAGCCTTGTTTCTA